ATTTTTTTAAAAAAATTTCAGCTTGTTAAAAGTGTTAAAGGTGTTTTATTTATATAGTTTTTTAAAAAAAATTTCTTTCTTTATGAGTTTTACATGAAATGTCTGATTTTTTTTTCCTGTTCTTCAAAACCAAAAACATAAACTTAACCCAAAGAATAAGGAAATTAGTGTTTGATAGATTATTTCTTTGTTGTAACAATGCTTCTGGGCAATAAATCTCATACAGCTGGAAAGCCTTTTAATTCCCCTTTTCAATGGTGCCACATTTGTAAGGAACATGCATTTGTGGGATGAGCATAGCTGAGTATGTGGGTTGATATTGCCCAAATTTTCCTCTGTCAAACAGCTTATTTTATTGTTATTGACACTTGTTTGAGCTTCTGGTACCCCCAGGTGCTGCCAATCAAATTCATTGTTGCAACAGTGAAATAATCAAACACAAATACAGTGACAATAATTTGGATCAAGCACAGTTATGTTAAATACTGTGAAGCTCTTTAATTACATCTTGATTGTGTCAATCTAAATCCATGTTAGAGTTAAACAGAACCAGACTTCATGGTTTTTATTGTTATTGCTGTAAAAACGGATGAACAGTTCTGTTTAACTCTGTGTTTCTGTGGTGCAGACCGGTCGTCTGGATAAGAAYTACCCACTGGTTAACGGCCACTCTGGACCTGTTCTGGATATCGACTGGAGCCCTCATGATGACAACGTCCTGGCCAGCTGTTCCGAAGACTGCACTGCAATGGTAATCAGTCTGTTTGTATGTTTTTGTGGTCCAAAAACTCAGATAACGATTGTAGAGGTTGAGTTAAGAGAGCAGCTGAAGTTGTTTTTCTATATTCATCATTTTGCTATCAGAACATTTAGTGCTCTTGGCTCTCTTTTTTGTACATTTCTGAATCTAAAACTGAACTAAAAGTAAAAACAAATACATAGCGGGTAAAATAAGTATTGAACATGTCACCATTTTTCTCAGTAAATATATTACTAGAGGTGCTAAAGACATGAAATTTTAACCAGATGTTGGTAACAACCCAAGTGATCCATACATACAAAGAAATCAAACCATAAATGTCCAGAAATGAAGTTATTTGTAATAATG